GAGAAATCATGTCATTTGCAACAATAAAACAGGAAACCCGTAGATTATTAACAAGCATGGTCTTAAACCCAGAAAAATAATTATTTGTTTAAAATATTTTTATTCCACCTTTCTCCTTAAAAGGACCCAAGGGGACTTACAACAATTAAAATACAATAATTAAAAGCTAAAAACAAAAAGTATACAAAATATTAAATTATTAAGCTAGTATTGTATTTAAAACAGTCAATAAAATCAGTAATAAGAACACATTTGAAAACAGCAGAGCACAATAATATATTCTTTTAAAAAAGCATTTCATGCCACCAGTCAATAAGGAAAAGCCTTCCTGAAGAGGCTTGTGGAAGGACAGCAAAGATGGGGCCAGCCTGACCTCCTGTGGGAGGGAGTTCCAAAGTCTGTGAGCCGCGACAGAGAAGGCCTTCTCCTGTGTCCCCACCAAACACATCTGTGAGGGTGGTGGTACCAAGAAAAAGGCCTTCCCTGATCATCTTAATGCCCAGGCAGGCTTAAAGAGGGAGATGTGGACTTTTAGATAGCATTTCGGTCTTTTAAAATGGTGGTAATTCAGACTTTTGAAAACTTGTGGGGGGAGGAAGAACTACAGCAGGAAGAATGGCAAAAAGTACAGCAGTTGGGGGGAAAAAAACCACCAGCCACTTACCCATCTCCTGAGCTGTTGCTGAGCACTTATTAAGGCAGAGACATCAAACAAAGCAAATTAGAAGGGCTTGCATTGTTTCAAAAACGCTTTAGTTGAAAACACAATAGGTGGGAAACTGAAATCAGTCAAGGTTCAGAAATATTCTTTTTTTAAATGTCAAACAGGGGGATACTGGGAGTTGTAGTTCTCAAAAGTAACTTTCTGAGGTTTGCTTCAGATATTCGTTTAAGATAAGAACCTAAGAAGTATACTGGGAGTTGTAGTTCTCAAAAGTAACTTTGTGAGCTTTGCTTCAGATATTCGTTTAAGAACATAAGTGTCCTGCTGGATCAGGCCAAGGGCCCATCTAGTCCTGCTTCCTGTATCTCACAGCGGCCCCACCAGATGCCTCTGGGAGCACATGAGACAAGTAGAGACCTGTCTCCTGATACCCCTTCCCCTGCATCTGGCATTTGGAGGTACCTTCCCTTTAAGCCTGGAGATTATACATCCCCATCATGGCTTGTAACCTGTGATGGACTTTTCCTCCAGAAATCTGACCAATCCCTTTTTCAAGACCTGTAGGTCAAATGCCATCACCACATCCTATGGCAAGGAGTTCCACAGACTATCACACTGGGTCAAGAAATCTTTTATTTGGTCTGTTCTCACTCTCCCAGCACTCGATTGGAGTGGATGTCCTCTGGTTCTGATATTCATCATTTGAGGGAAAAGAGCTGTTTGGTGTCCATGTTCTCTAAAACCAGTCTCATTCCTTGCAGTGTATGTAGGGGCTGGATGAACCTCTTTGATTCTCCCCTGCCCCAACAAATATCTTTAAAGTTTTGGAGCTGATGCTTAATCCGCTATTGTCCTCCCTTGGCTATTGCGCTTGTTCCCTTTGGAATACATGAGAGGAGCCCTTTCCTCCGACAACATGGGTTAGTAGCTTTGTCAGGAGACACCATGAAGCTTCAAAGCTGTCATTCCCAGGCTTTGGTGCCTTGTCATGATGCTTCTTTTTCAAAGCTGGAAGAAAGAGAGAGAGAGGCATGGAGCTGTGGCTTTCCCTGACAGCTCTAGCAAAGAACCGTCTAATTAAACGAGGCAGCATAAGCTGTGACACTTGCAGAGTTTAGCTATCAGCACCAACGGGCAGCTTCGGGGCAGGCTGCAGAGGGGCTCACCTTTCCTCCTCATAAGATTCCTTTGGCCCCGATAAGAGGTGAAAGCTGGCACCTGAGTGCTATCAGCATTGTGATGTTTCCCTGCAGTCAGGGCAGATGTTTACTCTGAGGAGGTCAAGCATGAGGAAAACAATAGCCAGAAGAAGGGGCTTTCCTTTCTCCACATGAGGCTGTTGATGACCAACAGCACTCAAGTGGGCTTGAAACATTTCTCCTAAGGCTGTGAAGAACGTCTGCCCAGTTTTCTGTCTTTCTCTTGTTAGCTGAAGGTGAAAGAGAGTTAAATCAAAGTGAGGATACCACCTTTGGATATCTTGGTGACCTTCTACGTTTTGAGCCAATAATAACTGGACCAAGTTAGAGAAAATATTTAACAATTTTAGTTTCTCTGTCTACTCTAGCCATTCTTCTCTAGTCATAATTTTTTTGTCTTCTAAGTGTTCAACTGTAATCCTGGTTTAGTATTTTCTCCTTAATTTTCTGCAGGAACCATTTCAGGTCAATGCCACTTGCTGCCAACAGTATCGTTTCATTGGCATATCTTAAAGGTAACCCTAAAATGTAGGAAGACTGAAGCCACTGAGGTAGGCTACTCAGTCTGAATTGACCTCCAGCATGTGGTGGGTTGTTAAAATATAATTGTTCTTGTAAACAGGCTGTGGCTCATTTACAAAAAAACCCTGTGTGATCCATTTCAATGGAAGTCTGTTAGAAAGTGTTAGTCTTAACCTATAAAGCTCTAAATGGATTGGGTCCAAGCTATCTTAAGACCGTTTTTCCTTTTACGAGTCTACTAGGGTGTTATGATCATCAGGGAAAACTTCTCTCAGCCGCACCATCCTCACGGGGGCATTTGGTGGGGACACAGGAGAAGACCTCGGTCGCTGCTTTTAGATTCTGGAACTCCCCTCCCATTGGAAGCCAGGCTGTCCTTCTAGAAGCAAACAAAGACCTTTCTGTATATTCGCAAAGGCTTTCACGGCTGGGATCTAATGGTTGTTGTGGGTTTTTTGGGCTCTTTGGCCATGTTCTGAAGGTTGTTCTTCCTAACGTTCACCAGTCTTTGTGGCCGGCATCTTCAGAGGACAACCTTAGAACACGGCCAAAGAGCCCGAAAAACCCACAACAACCAAAAGACCTTTCTCTTCAAACAGACTTTCCCTTAGTGACTGTCTGTTGGAGAGGTTTTTAAATGGATTGTTGTGCCAGGATGAGCAGGATGTGTTTTTGGTGTTGATTTTGTTTACTGTTCTAGTGTGGTAATTAATTATTATTATTTGTTTAATGTTTCTTCATAGAGAAGGGCACGGACCGCCATTTTGTTTTTTGGCCAAACAGGTGTTTAGCACTTCAAAGCCCCCCCCCCGTCTCCTCTGGCATGCATTCATTCAGAGGCAGTGCACAGAGGAGGCAGGGCAAGGAAGCCAGGCCACTGCCTCCAAGTGGATGCCTGCCAGAGGAGGCAGGGCTTTGAAGCACCTGTTCAGCCAATAAACGAACCAGCACAAACCACGGAACCAGCAGTTTGTGCCCATCACTATTTGTATACGTACTGTTTTAGCTATTAAATGTCATATTTTCCTGATGTAAGCCACTTTGGATCCTTTTCAAGGAGAAAGGCAGGGTAAAATATTTTAAATAAATAAATGGCTTCATTACACATGCTCCAGTGAAAGGGGATGGGGGGGACCCTTTGGGAATGGATTAGCTCAGTCCTCAGCACAAAAAAAAAACTGCATAAGAGACACAGTAATTTTGTGCTCTCGTCTTCTCTAGGGATTTCGTCATTTATCTTGGCATTTTAATATGCACAGTTAATTAATGCAAAATAGCCTTCATGCAAAAATCTTTGGCCAATTAGATTTCCTGGTGCAGTTTCTTTCCCGGCAGTGTACTAAATTATCTCCATAAAGAAAATTTTCTTAAGGGAGCTTTTGGCTCTTACACAGCATTTTCTTGATGGCACATTTAATACAAATGACTTCTGACAATCATATTTGCTTTGATTGTCTTAGGAGAGCATTATGTCATGGGTAGGTAGGGCAAGTCACAACATACTTGCTTTTGTTGAAGCAAATGTTAAAGCAAATACCTAAAACTAGCTACCATCTGCTTTCATTGACAACAGATTCTCCTTGGAAGCAGAGAACTAACATTTGGGGTTGTGTGTATTGAAACCTTTGGTTCTTCTTCGTGGTCTATGTGAATGCACACTGTCGGGTTCAATCTGTATCTATTGGTGATCTTCTGGAATGTGGGGCGACAGCAGTACAACAGCGGGGTGTGTGACAAAAAAGTCAGCTCTTTGCTGCATCTGCAGCAAGATCTACCTCTGGATCGGAAGTCTTCAGTCAATCAGCAAAGCTTCCAAAGACAAAAGAGTGAATTTAGATCCTAAGTAGGAATGAGGATCCAACTTGTACTCTCGATGCTTTGTAGACTTGTGTAGTCATGTTCTATTTGGAAATTAAAACAGTGTAACTGAAATCCAGGTTAAGTATCATCATTACTGCTCTGGAAATATTATTGGTCTTAGCAATTGAAAGGAAGAAGCTGAATTTGCTGGGTTAAAGGTAGACGGTTTTCCTCTCTCTCTCTCCATCTCTCTGTTTCCCAAGAGAGAAAGTGGAACCCAATGGAAGAAAAAGCACCACTAGAAAGAGGCAGTATATTCACAATTGGAGTATATTGTTAGCAAAATAGGTATGCACTTGAATGAGGATGGGTTTGATAGAAGAAGAAAAAAGAATAACAGGGATATATAGTCACTCGTTAGGTTTCAGTGTTACTTTCCAAATTATATTCCTAGCAAATGTTATAATAAAATAGAAAGAAACATATTTAAGGTTTTCATATTAAAATGATCAGGCTAAATCCAGTTTCAATCCCAACTATAGTAAACAGATAAAAATCAGTGGGACTTATGTCAGTGTTTAACTTATAAGTCTCTGTAAATTTCAATAGATCTACAGTACTCTAGTTTGGACTGAAATTGAATTTAGTGAATTGTATCTCCAGTGTATACTTTGCCTGTGGTAGTTCTGAATATCCAGCTGTATTTCCAGGGGCCAAAATTAGACCAGCTGGAACAATGCAGAGAGAATCCTGAGCTTGAATTAATTATTTTGGTCCATGGATCCGTTCCAACACTGTTGTTGTTGTTTTTCCAGAGATGTAATGCCACCTGGATCATGTGGAGGCCAGAGATCAAGGCCATGCCTGACTCAAGACTTCTTTAGGACATAACCCTGGATAACATTACTTTCTGGAAAGCGGAAGCCATCTGGGAGAACATCTTTAAGGATTGTCCCGGGTAAGAAGCTGTTGCTACCTAGGAAAGCTGCACACCTGCCATGGCTAGCAAAAGGAAGTCTACGACTCCATGTATGGTCCGAACATCTGACGCCACGGAGCAGGAAGTTCCGAAAGACTGTCGAGGAATAACAGCTGGCACCCCAGAACAGGACTTGAGGGAGAGTTTGGCTGCCGGGAAGGAGAACTGCGAAAACGACTGTGAGGTCATTGAAGGGAAATCTTCCCCGGCCAATCCAGCACGGAAGGCCTTTGTTGGTTACGAATGTAAATACTGCCCCTACTCTACACAGATTCTGAATGAATTCACGGAGCACATAGATACGCAACACCCCAATGTGATCCTCAACCCCCTTTACGTATGCGCTGAATGTAACTTTACAACCAAAAAGTATGATTCTTTGTCTGAGCATAATACCAAGCTCCACCCAGGGGAAAACAACTTCAAACTGAAGTTGATTAAGCTCAATAACCAGACTGTCCTAGAGCAATCCATCGAGGTAACGAACACTTCAGTTGCAGCCGAAACACCTGCGTTCGAGGTGGTTCCTGGTGAGACGAGCAGTACCAGCAAAGTGCCACCGTCTGTTAACATTGGGAAGCCAAACGTTGAGGCCAAGAAGATGGCGGTAGAGAACCATCTTGATGGAATTCCCCATCTTGTTACAGAAAACACTGAGCCAGTCACTTGTCTCAATGGGGCAGATCTCCTCCAGGATACTCTGCCTCATGTGATGCCGTCCGTGCAGCTCCCGCCAAATATCAACCTGGTCCCTAAAGTACCTGTGCCCTTGAATAGTACTAAATACAATTCTGCACTGGATACCAATGCAACCATGATCAATTCTTTCAACAAATTCCCATACCCAACACAGGCAGAATTGTCCTGGCTGACGGCAGCGTCAAAACACCCGGAAGAACAGATCCGGATCTGGTTTGCTACTCAGCGCTTGAAACATGGCATCAGCTGGTCTCCAGAAGAGGTGGAAGAGGCAAGGAAGAAGATGTTCAACGGCACCATCCAGCCAGCATCTCAGACCATCACTGTTCTGCCAGCCCATGTCGCTGCCACAAAAATGCCGCAGCCGCTTATCCAGACAGCTATGCCGTGTCAGATTCTTAGTCAGACTGGCCTGGTTTTGACGCAAGTATCAAATGGATCAACTATCCCCCCAATAACTCTTGCTGTTGCTTCCAGTCAAGGGCAGAAACGGAGCACGCTGAACCAGCCGCTTGCCCCAGAAGCCAAGAGGCCGCACATCGTCCCGGCAGACGTCTCGCCCAAACAGAACTCTCCTACCACTCCAACAAGTGTGACAACAACCACGCCATTGCCTCCTGCGCTGGTAGCAATGTCGAACGACCGAAAGAAGACCAAGGAACAGATAGCAGCCCTGAAAGCCAGTTTCGTCACAAGCCAGTTTCCTGACAATGCAGAAATATACAGGCTGATAGATATCACGGGCCTCTCTAGGAGCGAGATCAAGAAATGGTTCAGTGACTACCGGTACCGAAGTCAACGAGGAATTGTCAACATCACAACGGGATCAATAGCGAAGGACCAGATGGTTCTTGCGGCTGCTGCACGGCCGGGGCGGGTTTACAATTCGTACCCAGACCTCCCTGTCCAGAAGTGCAAAGGAAAAAATGAAGAACAGCTCACGATGCTCAAAGACAGTTTCCTTAACAGCCCTTTCCCAACACCAAGTGAGTTGGAAAGGCTCAGGAATGATGGCAAGATGAGCAGAAATGAGGTCGAGTCCTGGTTTACTGAGCAAAGGAAGCTCAGAGATCATTCGGAACAAGCTGTTTTGGACTCGGTGGGATCCAAGAATAAGGATCAAGGGTCTTCCAATGGGGCCGTCAATCAAACAGAGCAGTTTCACAGCTCCCAGGCACTGACACCTTTGACATTCTGCTCTTCGGACGTTGCGAAGACTACCCAAGAGCAAGTCCATTTACTGAAGAGTATGTTCATCAGAACTCAGTGGCCAACCCCAAAGGAATATGACGAGTTGGCAGCTCAGACTGGACTCACAAGGACTGAAATAGTCCGCTGGTTCAAAGAGAATAGAAGCTCTCTAAGAACGGGGAAATTAAAATGGTTGGACCAGTACCAGCAGCAGTGTGCCATTGACGGACATCATGAGACAAAGGGTTCCGTGCCCGTTGGGACTCTCAGGCACAGTAACGATGCCATTCAGCAGACGGACAAAACATATCAGACGCCAGGGAAGCAGAATACGGGAGGTACGGAAAAATCAGAATGCAGCAGCCAAGATAGTCAAGGGAGTAGCAAGAACCGGGACTCTGGCAACGTGAGTTGGGTGGAAGTCACCATTGAGGATGACGACGCTGCTTCGGACTGTATGGATAACTGGAGTCAACCAGCAGCTGAAAATAAAGCAGATTTTGATTCTGAAAGTATATCTGGGGATAACTCTCACACCTAGACAGGTAATAATGCTGATTGAGTTTTTTTGAAACCTAATTTCAACCCTCATTCTCCTTTTCTGTTGCCCAACCTATTGTTCTCATTTGAATTTCTTTACGTCAGATGGGTTTGTTGATTGCCCTCCTCCTCCCCCGCCCCAAAGTATTGTTAAGTAAAATTACAATTTAATAAAACAGAACAATGGCAAGACATTATTTTAATACAGACCAAAAAGAGGATTAAAAGCCCAAGGCCTGATGAAATAATAAAGCTTTCACTGCCTGTCAAAAAACTCAATAAAAATGAACCCTACCTGCCCTTGGGAGGGAGTTGTGGTGTGCTGTCTATTCATTCGTTTGTTTGTTCATTCATATTTTTGCTCTTCCTTCCTCCTTAAAAGGGACCCACAGTTGCTAGAGAAATAGTCCTGGGGTTCTTTCACCGCACATGAAACACATTACTAATCTAATCAAGAAGTGCTTTAAGGCAGTGGTCCCCAACCTTGGGCCTCCAGATGTTCTTGGACTTCAACTCCCAGAAATCCTAGCCAACAGAGGTGGTGATGAAGGCTTCTGGGAATTGTAGTCCAAAAACATCTGGAGGCCCAAGATTGGGGGTAAAGGTAAAGGTTCCCCTTGACAATTTTTTTGTCCAGTCGTGTTCGACTCTAGGGGGCGGTGCCCATCCCCGTTTCCAAGCCATAGAGCCAATGTTTTGTCCGAAGACAATCTTCCGTGGTCACATGGCCAGTGCGACTTAGACACGGAACACTGTTACCTTCCCACCAAAGTGGTCCCTATTTATCTACTTGCATTTGCATGCTTTCGAACCGCTAGGTTGCCAGGAGCTGGGACAAGCGACGGGCACTCACTCCGTCGCGTGGATTCGATCTTACGACTGCTGGTCTTCTGACCCTGCAGCACAGGCTTCTGCGGTTTAGCCCGCAGTGCCACCACGTCCCACTGCTTTAAGGCATGGGTTGCTATGGCCCAATCTGCCTTCTATAGCAGTGGTTCCCAACCTTGGGTCCCCGGATGTTCTTGGACTAAAACCCCCTGAACTCTTCAGCGCTAGCTCTGCTGACCAGGATTTCTAGGAGTTGTAGACCAAGACCATCTGGGGTTCCCAGGGTTGGGAACTACCTATATAAGAAGGAACCCAGCTGGTGTACCGGTTGAAGCTAGGCAAAAGCACACCAGTCACCTAGTTTTTCAGGAGGAGAAAGGTTGGATACAAGAGCAGTCGTGAGTAAGCAAGACATTTTGAGCAAGGTGCTCCCTTTTAGAGAAAGTTGCCTATCAAATCACTAGAAGAAATTTAAAAAAAGGAAGATCAGACTTCTGAAGCTACCCTTACACACAATCAAGCTATTTATCCATGTCATCTAGGATTGCCTTCAGTGAGGGGAAGAGATTCCCAGGGCTTCTGAACTATGTTTTTAACACAAAATACTGTGTCCCTCTATTTAGAGGGACACTTTATCTTATGTACATGTTGCATTGTCATTGTTGTAATACAGCCATGGTAATGTATATAATACTTGCATGGGTGAGTGGAAGTATATAGCACTCGGATGGATGAGTGCCACCAGTTCGAGTAGACAGAGGGAAAAGAAGAAGAAACCATCGTATCCAGAGTTCCTCCAGGTTTATTCTAGTAGGGCAGAAAAGAAGGAGAAGGGTATCTTTGCTTTTATACACACAAACCCAACCTCTTTGGACAATTTCCTTTACAAGTCAATGAAGGGATTGCTGCTTTAGTGAAGAAAACCCTTTATTGTATTTTGTTCTTCCATCAGCCTTGGTTGAAGTAGAAATGTATGAAAAGCAGCTTGCCCAGTGTTTCAGGTGAAATGTGAACTTCAAACTTCAGCTGTATATTTAACATATTTCTATTACAAAGGGAAAGCCCTAAAACTATTGGTCTGTTTTGTGCAATTAAGAGATCATGGGGTAATGGCCATGGAGATTCTATTTTATTTTACTTGGTGTTTTTTTAATTAAACAGGTCTACTGATTCCTCCATGTGGCTCACATCTTGGCAAAGCTTAGAAACTCCCAGAATCCTGAAGCTAGCAAGCCCCCTGCTCAGTTGATGTTAAATTTGATTTTTGCATTCCTTTATCTGCTGTTTCAAAGAACAGTCTCAAGAGAACTCAAGAATAGCAGTGCTGGATGAGGCCAAAGACTTAAACTATCCCAGCATTCTGTTCACACAGTCACCACCCTGACATCTATAGGAACCTTACACAGTGGTGCCTCGCAGAACGAGCGCCCCGTTGAGCGATGAATTCGCTCTACGGTGACGCTTTTGCGATCGCTAATGCGATCGCAGAGCGATGCCCCCAATGGGCGAAAATCACAGAGCGAAGGTCAGTAAGCGGTTCGCTTACCGACCTTTGCTTTGCGACCTGCCGATCAGCTGTTCCGCAGCTTCAAAACGGCCGCCGGAACAGCCGAAATGGCCCAGCGCAGCGTTTTTGCGCCCTTGGTGAGGGGAGGGTGTAAAAACGCTGCCGGAACAGCCGAAAGAGCCGAAATGGCTGTGCGCAGTGTTTTCGTGCCCTCCACTCGCTTACCAAGGGCGCGAAAACGCTGCAGCCGGCCATTTCGGCTGTTCCGGCGGCCATTTTGGACCCACCGGATAGCTGATCGCAGCCATTTTCGCACCCTCGTTCAGCGAGGGGAGGGCGCAAAAATGGCTGCCGGCCATCGGAGAAATATCACTGAACGGTGAGTACAGCAGCCGATTGGAACACATTAAACACTGTTTAATGCGTTCCAGTGGGCTTTTCTGCCCCGCTCAGCGATGTTTCACACAGCGAGGGTTAATCCGGGACGGATTAACCTCGCTGTGCGAGGCACCACTGTACGTGAGCCAGACACAAATATAGTTCCATTCTGCTCATGTTGAGAAGCGCACTGTCTCTGGTATGTATAGGACATAGTATATAACTGTTGTGCCAAGTAGCCATTCATAGCCTGATCTTTTATATGGAAACTGAGGAGCCCTATTGACTTCCACAGGACTCACAGGTGAGTGTGCACAGGTTTATGTTAGGAGCCGAGAGACTTGCAACTATCCAATGTTTTGGACTTTGGGCTCCCAAAAAGCTCCAGCCAGGATGGAGAATGTTAAGGGTTTATGAGATCTCCAGCATGAAACATCTTGATAGTTTCCCACTAGAGATGGGGGTATTCAATCCCCACACAGGTGGCGATAATGAGGGTCCAGCCCCATGGGGCCAGATGGCCTACTCACCGATCCACCAATGCCGCGGATGCCGTGATTTGCGGATGCCGTGATTCTTCCAATGGCTCCGCAGATCGCGATCTGCAAGCCGCTCTTTGACCTTGCGGTGAGGCTTGGCCTCCTGCCTCCTGCCAGGAGTGGCTAGTTGATTGCGATCTGCGGAGCCATTGGAAGAATCGCCAGTGGCAGATCGGTGAATGGACTGCCCAAATCGCGATCTGCGGAGCCATTGGAAGAATCGCAGTGGCAGGTCAGTGAATGGACTGCCCAGCCCCATGGGGCTGAACCCTCATTATCACCACCTGTGCGGAGATATTCGTAATTCATATACAAATACCCCCGTCTCTATTTCCCACCCCTGGTTTACAGCCTCTTCTTTGGCAGAGAAGGCAGTGGCCAGGTGGAAGAACATGTGATCACTTTAGAGAGGCCAATATCATGCTTTGTTTGAAATGTGGGGATGGAGGAGAGCTCTGTGGACTAGAAAGACAAACAAGTGGGCCCAGATAGATAAAATCAAGGCTGAAATATCTGGAGGCCAAAATGATGGAACTGAGCCCTGTCTTACTTTGGGCACATCATAAGGAATTGTCTCTGGAAAAGACCATCATGTTGAAAAAGGTGAAAGGCAGCAGGAGAAGAGGAAGACCAAATACGAGAGGGACCAATTCCCCAAAGGAAGCCACAGGCTTCAGTTTGCAAGAGCTAAGCAGGGCTACTAAGGACATATTAGAGATCACTCATTCATGAGGTCACCATAATTTGAGGGCCACTTGGCAGGACATAACATCATGTGTGTGTTTTTCAGAGTGCAGTTGCACAAGCTAGTGATAGCACCATTGCATAGAAATGGGCTTTCCCATTACACATGAGGTTAATGGAGTGCAGCTTGTGCAAGCAGTGAAAACCTACGTGGTTCTTCACTCATTGGATACTAGCCAAAGAATTGTGGGTTTCCATCTTAGACAGCTTCTAGATTAAAGGATGAGATGGCCAGTGAATGAAAAAAAAATCTCTTGTGATCTCTGTTGCTGCCAGAGCAGAAGAAAATGGAAGAGTTGGATAAATTGACAGCTCAACTGCTAGGATTCTCCCTGGACTTTTTTACTTTTGCTGCAGCTCATGCCAGGTTGGGGGGGGGGCACAAACTTAGTCAAGAGTTGCCCACCCTTACCTTAAAAACTTAACAGGGTCTCTGTGATGTACATCTTTGTGGGTTGCAGCCCCACCAAACATAACATATAAAATTAATAGTCTTCAGGATGCCATGAAACTCAGTCTTGTTTTCATTTGCAAGAAAACAAGGTGTGTGTTTTTTAATCTGAGGAGTTGTTTGCTGTGTTCATTATGTATACAACTTTGGAAATACGTACAACTGTGAAATAATTATATATTTTTTCCTATTCTCTAGGCACATCCTTCTGCCTCCTAGAGAGGTCTTTCCAGTCTGGATTCTTGAGGATCTGTTGTCACTGACTCCGGGATCAAGCAAAGATTTTAAAAAGAGAGTATTCAGTTTGACTCCAGAATCAAAATCATGGTCAAGACAATCCTACGGAGCACTGCAAGGAGTTCCATGATGCCAAAGTCTCATTATGGGACTTTTTTAAAGGGCCCTTGTACATAGGTTCTCTCTATAATGTACTACTTGCTTGACTCCGATTGTAGACTAGTATTTACAATGCAGATTTTTTTTTTGCTACATTTTCTGATTGGAACATTCAATACAGGTCATGGCTCACTCAAGGATCATGGTTGACTTGATTATTTTTCTTTAAAATTAGTATCTGTTGTGTCTATTTCCAAGACCATTTGGAAATTTCTCAGCCTGCCTCATGGTTTTCTAATGATGAGCATTTAGCCCTGGTGTTCATTACATCTCAACACACTTTATAGAATCCATCCAAAGCTGTGTTGATTGCCGTTTCCTTCATGGCTGTTTTATTTGTAGCAGGCTACATCTTGTTCTGCATACAGGAAAACTTCCGAAACAGTGGGAGAACAGATCTCTTTTAACACACCATTTGCCAAAACATCTGGACTGTGGACCTTTGGAGATGTTGACAGGACAATGCCTTTGCTTGTCCCAAGCACCTTTATATCACCTGCAATCTTAAAAAGATGACTTTTCAATGGAGGGCTTAAGCTTTTTTAAAAATTGGTGAACTTCATTATTGTTTTTTGGTGCAAAGACGGAAACTGTTTAGGCAGCCTTAGATGCTGTAGTGCACAAGACGGTTTCGTAAACCCTCTCCGCTAAACTTTTAGCTTGTTTCTAGGTCCTCTGAGTGCACTTTTATTCTTCAAATGACTGCTGAAGTAAGGGAGGAAAATCGAGGGAGTCAGAGGAATGTTTTTAACAGTGACATTTAGAAGGTTTGAAAAGTCTGACCCATTTCCCCTATACAAACCTAATATTAAGGAGTTGGAATTAAAACAAAAAACTTTTCTAACTGTTTGCTTCTTTGTTATAATTCACTAAAACAAAGTGCTGGAGGGAAGTGATTTTTTGCATCTTTTTTTTATTGTACCTTGTGCCAAATTGACCTCATTGCTAGATGGTTGCGGAGGGGAAGCAGAACACTTAAGCTTCTGTGTCAGCCAGCATGCATGTATTGGTCATCAGCATCAACAGAACAGGTGCCAAATATGGGGTAGGTCAAAAGACATGCACACGATCAAAACCAATTGTCATTCTCAGGCATTCAAACTTCAGTACAGTGGTGCCCCGCATAGTGCCGATAATCCGTTCCGAAAAAATCTTCGCTATGTGGATTCGTCGCTATGCAGGGCAAAAAAAGCCCATAGGAATGCATTAAAGCACGTTTAATGTGTTCCTATGGGCAAAAAACTCACTGTTATGCGGAAATCCTCCATGCGGCCGCCATTTTCGCTGCCTGGTAAGTGAGGAAAGGGCACGAAAACACAGCAGGTAGCCATTTTTGAACAGCTGATCAGCTGTTTAAAAAAACATCGCTATGCGGAAATCGGTAAGCGGAACGCTTACTGATCATCACAAAATGATGTTTTACCATTAGAAACATCGCAATGCGATCACTTTTGCGATTGTAAAAAACATCGCTATGCAGATTCGTTGTTAAACGAATTGCTCGCTATGCAGGGCACCACTGTATTAATTGTGTCAAAAGATGAGACTGCCAACAAAACAACTTTTAAGGACAGCATCCCAAAAAAACCTGAAAGGCTACTGCTGGTTCATACTATCTTTATTTCAAAACAACTGAAATTGTGCCACGGTTGCCATTTTCTGTGGACTAATATTTCTTTAACATGGGGGTAGGAATCTGTGGCTCACCAAAGGTTTCATACTATAATTACAGAAATTTCCAGCTAGTATGCTCAATATTAATCATCATCATCATGTGCCATCAAATCAATTTTGACTTATGGTGACTCTGCAAGGCTTTCCAAGCAGAGTCAGAAGTAACTATTCCTTTCTTCAGGGGGCGCCCTGGGACTGTGAAGCTTGCCCAAAGCCACACAGGCTGGCTCATCTCCCTGGAGGCACAGTGGGGAATTGAACTCCCAGATACCCAACTCACTGTGATATCCAGAGAATTGGGAAAGTTACAGTCCATAGCATCTGGAGACCATAAGATTGGGGAAAGCTGATCTAAGACAATTCTTTACTTGCCTCAGTACCTACAATTCTTTACTTGCCTAAGTACCTGGGAGGACTGTTGTCGAGATCCTTAGTATAATCTTCAATGTTGTTCTTATGGCTAGCAAATTGTTTCTGAGTTCTGCAATCCTAATAGAGTTTGGAGATAGGAAAGATGTTCAACAAATGGTTTATCACTGCCACCTCCCAATGGGTTTCAGAGGCTGAATAGGAATTTGAACCCATGTCTGCTGCATTCTAATCTAGCACTGCATCCACAACACCATGTCATTCTTAATGTCCAATGAGTCCTGTGAGTATTTATTGATAATCTACAAGCCTACACAAACTTATATTGAGTGTGGTGTACTGCAGAGGTCCCCAACACCCAGTCCATGGCACGCTGCTGGGCCTGGCCTGAGCCAGACCAGGCCGTGGAGACATTCCCCCTCGCACAGCCTGTTTGTGCACGTGCACAAGCATGCACACTCCTTTGCGTATGTGCAGGGTGCCCCGCCTTCCCCAGCCAGTCCATGGGGCTAAAAAGGTTGGGGACCACTGGTGTACTGTAGTGGATAGAGTGATGGACCAAGAATCAGGACACGTAGGTTTGAATCCCCGCTCAAGCCATGGAAATTTGGGGGGCAGGAGGGGGTGGAACTAGTACTCTTTATTATCTCATACCTTGAAAGCTCGAGTAGGATTACTTTTAAGTTTATTCCAACTTGATTGTACGGAAACTATTTTCCTGGTACTTAGAAAGCAACCCCAACAACTTGGGAGTTGGTCTGAAGAAGATCCTTTGAAACTGAATACAATAACTCAAGGGTGTGTGAAGCCAAGGCAAACACCAAAGCGGAATACAGTTTTCCAACTTTAATTTAAAGTATCACCAATGAGAAAGAATTGTTACAAAAAGATGTTCTCTATACCAAAGAACAGAACAGCTCATTTCATAATGAGGCCAGCCATTGCCAGTGTGACCTGGAAAACTGGTAAAGCTAGGCAAGTGTTTCAGGTGAACAAATCAAAGTGATGCTAAGAGTTTTGGACATCCAGCAAGGTCACATGATATCATTATTGAACCAATGCAAAGTACTGGGTTAAACACACTTGTTGTTTAGTTGTGAGTTGTGTCCGACTCTTCATGACCCCATGGACCAGAGCAGGCCAGGCCCTCCTGTCTTCCACTGCCTCCCAGAGTTGGGTCAAATTCATGTTGGTTGCTTCAGTGACACTGTCCAACCATCTCGTCTTCTGCCGTCCCCTCCTCTTGCCTTCACACTTTCCCAACATCAGAGTCTTTTCCAGGGAGTCTTCTCTTCTCATGAGATGGCCAGAGTATTGGAGCCTCAGCTTCAGGATCTGTCCTTCCAGTGAGCACTCAGGGTTGATTTCCTTCAGAACGGATAGCTTTGTTCTCCTTGCAGTCCAGGGGACTCTCAAGAGTCTCCCTCCAGCATCACAATTCAAAGGCATCAATTCTTCAGCAGTCAGCCTTCTTTACGGTCCAGCTCTCACTGATGGGTTACAGATTGACAAAAAAAGTACCTCACACAATGTTGTATTGAATTTCTAGACTATACAACAAGCAGAATCCAGATTCATGAAGTGGCTCTTTGCTTTCCAACAAGATCCTGCTTTTGTAGCCAATATCCTGACTTTGGACAAAGTTCACATACACAATTCTTGCAGATTCAGAAAATAAAATTAACCATGGGAAAGAATGGCACTGCATACAGATTTTGCTACAGTGGTTCCTGCTGCAAAAAGGCAGGCAAAATCCTGTTGTTTAGTTACACGTGAGGAAGGTAAGCAGTATTAATATGCAGCAGCATCTCACCAACTATCTTGATTTCCGGGCATGTGCCCAAAAGTGCAGGTGGGGATTCATGAACTGTCAGCAAGAAGCTACTACAAATCCTACCACTACATAACTGGGTTTTGGCCACAGAGTTCAAATTTATGAGGTGATCTCTGTCACTACAAAACTTAACCACAATAAGTGAGAAAGAACCCTTCCTGAAACTGGTGCACTCCAGATGTTAGTCGGCAGCAGAGATGAGCAACAGGCAACCATATAAATCATTTTTTTCCAGCCGTTGCAAGATGCACCACAAGTATTCATTTTAAAAAATCCTTAAAATCATTGGTACAAATGTTCCAACACTCAAAATCATCAACTTCGATGTCTCATCAACTTCGATTTCTCACCTTCATGGCAATGATTTAATGTTTAGTATCTTTTATTTAGTAACTCAGCACTGTTCTAACACTTAGGTGTTTTTACTAAAATATTGCAGTTCCATGCCTTTATTAATTGCGTAAGGAAGTCGTCAATTGGTGTATTTACTTCCTGGAATAACAGAGAAGGCCATGTCCAGAAAGAACAAAGAGAATTAAGACTTTCATGTTCATTGGAGACTTGTTTTTTTTTTCCCTCACATTCCAAAGAGAAAATAAACCAATTACAGGCATCCTTATACAATTAGAGTACAATTCAGCCTCAGAAGTGCAATTTTAAACAAAAACTAACTGGCAAGCAACACTTCATTACCAAATGAGACGAGTAAGATCAACTCGGCTCTAAACTGCCAACATGAAACTAGGAAAGGGAGTGGGAAGCAACTGATATAATTCATGTAATGTGCAGCCTTTATTAATTAATGTCTTGCATTAATTATTAATTAGTATCTTGCATTACATTAATTACAGTACATATCAGTCAGAATCCCACTGACTGTTTCCAGATGCAAAAGTGCTATCACATACCTTATGGGGGACTGCCACTAATTAAGATGGCAATGTATCCCTGGTTGTGCACCTTAGAAAAGTAAAAAATGAGAAGAAAAAAATAACTCACCTAATCTGCCATAACTTTGCCCATATCAGCTTTGGAGAGCAGCCCCTGAGCTGTTGGCCAATCTGAAGTCTGGCCCTCGGCAATATCAATATTATCTACCCCTGGTCTAAAAAGTACATCATCCCCTGCCGCTGCAGCCATACTGGTTAGAGGTGATGGAAATTTTAGTCCAACCTTTAGGAAATGCCAATCTGTGGTAGGCTGTCCAATAAAAATTAGATTTTTATTCCTGCAGTCCACAGGCCAGAACTAATGAAACAATGACTATTCTGAGCTTTCGGGCCATCTGTCATGTTATCAAAAAAAATAAATAAAAACTGAGGCAGGAGCCATTATAAGATTTATTATCATAAAAACAGTTCTAATGATTTCTCATATGTACACCTTTTTAGAGATACCACTCCAAGATTTCTGCTTTCTTCAACCACCATGGGTTTATGTTTGGACTTCCTGGAACCAGTCAAAAACAGAATAAAATCGGGAGTATGCCACTCCCTCTTCCCAGCTCAGACCCACCACCAACTATAAACTCGAAGGACCCTGTGGAGTATCAGTACAAGTTACCTAAGGAGTATTTAAGGAGTACTTCCCATTTATGCAGTGCTACAGAAAGTAACATCTGTACGAGTATAACTGGATAAAGTCATCGGCCCCATTTTCCATATCGAACACTGAAGGAATGCAATCTTGGGGAAGGTGAGAATTAGACCAGAATTGCTGTGATGTTTTTGGGGTTGGCATATGATAAACCACACTGCTCAATTGCTGTTAAGCTAAAGAAACAGCCACTTCTGAGGACAGAAGGACCCACCAGCTTAGCAAAATAAGATATCTTCCCATCACCCAAATATGCCAACCCAAGAGTACCAACACTCCTTCCATATAACAAGTCATCCACACCTCCATGTGTTGTGATATCACACTTACTTCTTACAATAAAATTGCACATCTGTTTCCAAAAGGAACATAAGTATACATCTATTCTTCTGGTATGAAAGACTGGTCAAGGAGAAAGGAAGACACTATCTATTTTATTGAAACAAGCAACCCAATTCTAGCTGTGCCTCACTTTTTAGCAAAAGAAGAATTTGTTTTAATCACCCAACAGTTCTGCAGTCATTTTGCACTTTTGCTAGACCTGAACAACTTATCATTCTTTTCAATTTTACATGCGAGCCCCAAAGCTATTTTCTTACAGATTTCATCTGAATCCTGTGCATTCTGCTCAGAAGCAAGCCTTGCAAAGTTCAATAGGACTTGCTCCAATGTGAGCTGACAGATGCATGTAAGTAGCTGGAACAACTTTTCCAAATGAAAGCCAGCCTTCATTCCCTTCTTCTGTTTCAGTCACTCAAATTAGTACAGGTATCTCTCCTAGCTTAGACAAATCTGAATTGATCAAGTAGTACTTATCTCCCCAAATTAAACAAAAAATTGTTCCTGCTAAAGAAAAGATAGCATTATAGATCCTCTAAGGGCCTTTGAACTTGTAATTATCCCTTTTACACTGGAAAGAGAGGTCTTGGAGGTATCTGTGAGCAAAAATGTAGATTCTTAAAAGGACTCTAAGCTTCTAACTAAGTGAGGCTCGCAAGGCAGACAGAATGGTGTTAATTCACTTGAGGAGACAGCCGGAAGAGAAATTACACTGTACTAGAGAATATTAAAAATTAGTTTTCTTTTTAATGGCAGCATTGAGTGGAGCACTATTCAAGAGCCTGGAGTAAAATCTATCTTGTGCCTTCAGTTGTGTCATCTTCCACCAGGAGCAGATGAAATAAAAAAAAATTTAATGGGTCAGACCCAACAGTGCTAGAGCAAACCTGGTCCTTGAGCACACTCCACAGGAGGAGTCGTTCCCTTGTGGAAGAGGTTTCTTCTCACACACGCAACAAAGAAAAAAAGGAAAAGCAGCAGAACGTTTTTTTTCACTGATCGCCTAGCCGAAAGCCCTGACCCCAGTTGTGTCGTCCCTCGCCCTGGTGATTGTCTGCTGGCCTGCGCATACTCGCAGGCGGCACACCGAATCCTGACACTCCTCCTCTTCTGTTGGGCAGCCAGTTGTACCTAGAGGCAAAAGAGCTATTCAGAAACACACACCTGTGCAGCATCACCCTGATCAAGCAGCTTAGACACCTATTAACCTTTAACCACTGAAGAACAAGCAACTGACCACAAGGTGCAGTGAAAACTGTAACTAGAGATGGAAGCTTCATATTCATATCCCTGGGGTGCAGTACCACAGAAGCCACAGAGGTTCATTCCTTCCCCCCAAGAACCATCCTGGTCCACTCACGGGCCTCCACACAGCGCGCACATCCATCAGTCCCGACATTGTGCCTCTTGCAGAAGCCGTCCAACCTGCTCTGCCCCACCTTCCTGCACAGCCAACCACTTAGCAGCTGAGCAGCGATACTCATCGTCCCGCCTCCTCACTGGAGAGGTCAGCTGCACGGAGAAGAAGGTCAGAGACAGTTTGGCTATTTCCACAACTGGTGCAATGTTGCTATTGCTGGACGTGCATAACAACTGGTGCAATGTTGCTATTGCTGGACGTGCACACTGCGTAGAGTCCGGTGGCTAAACCGGGTTGCTGCTTGGGAGAGGGAATGGATCTCCATGGCTCCTGTGGTGCCACACTTCATATTCATATTCCCAGGGATATGAATACGAAAGTCCCATCTCCAGCTGTAACACATTCAATGACCAAATTGGGGGGGGGGGGGGAAGG